TTTTTTAAATTTGAATTTCATTCATTATTGGCGAAGATATTGTATATACAATTTTGAGCTAAAAAATACGCGATGACTTTTTACTACACCTAATATATAATATATACATATTATATATTGTATATATTATATATATTTCTTCGATAAATAGCCTTTCATAAAAAAATAATTCCTAAGGCAGATAGTTGCATCAAAAATAGTTTTAAACTTGTTAAGAAACTTGATGGTAGACGTTTGAATTTCAGTTAATGTCACTGGATGTTGTGAGCTTCTTTACTAACGTCTCCATTAACTATGCGATGGATTAAAGACCATTGGCGATTTATTTCTAGAGATTGTTTACCGGAGGAGGAATTTATCAAAGTAGTTCAGTTTGTTTGAGATTCTAATTTCTATATAGTAACTTTCTTTGTTTTTGATAGTATTATATATAGACAGAATTACGGAACTCCTATGGGCTCTCCGTTATCTCTCGTCATTGCGGATCTAGTTACGCAAAAGCTGGAGGTTAGAGCTTTGTCTTTGATTCGGTTTTTGTTGCCCTTTTACTATAAGTTTGTTGACGACATATAATATTATTGGCGGCACCTGCGTCTTCGGTTAGTTCCATTCTTGATATTTTTAATTTTCAACATCCTAGGCTTCAGTTCACTATAGAGATAGGTGGTGATAGATTGCATTTTTTGGATGTTACAGTGATTAGGGATAATGAGTTGATAGAGTTCAATTGGTATCACAGCCGACTTTTTCGGGTAGATATTTGAATTTTTGGTCACAGCATCTTGTTTCTCAAAAAATAGGTACAATCGCGGGATTAGTTGATAGGGTAGTTTTGCTTTCGAATCTTAAATTTTACCTCGATAATTTGTGTTTTATTATTAAAGTATTGTTAGAGAATGATTATCCATTGAACTTTATATTTGAGAATATTAACAATCGTTTGAAGAAAATTATTATGGCTAGAAATAGGAAGAGTGTTGTTAATGATAATAGGGTAGAAGCAGTGCAACCTTCGTGGTTCATTGTTCCTTTCGTTCGTAGTATTACTGAGAAGTTTAGCAGATTGAATAGCGAGCGTATGAGGGTATCATTCTATAATACTATTGCGAGAATTTATTAGGATATATAAGGACCTTTTATCGCGTGACAAGAAGTCGAATGTTGTTTATAAGATCTCGTGTAAGAGTTGCAAGTTATGCAAGTTTTATGGGACAAACGTGTAGACAGCTGAAGTCAAGAATCACGGAGCATAAGAATCACATCAGATGGAACATCTCTATCCGTAATGTCATAACGGAACATCAGAACAAGAAGATTATGATTTTGATTGGGACAACGTTACAGTACTGGATGAGGAGCCTCACTATAGGAAGAGATTGATTTCGGAGATGATATTCATCAAGAGACAGACACACACGGACTCAACTTGCAGACGGATATGGAGGGGCTTCCCAAGGCCTATCTCCCAATCATAGACAAACTATAAAGACTTGGGTTGTTATTACGTCTAGTCAGTCAGTGTCGTTCATACGCAGTAATGAGTCTTTCTGGTGTGATTTTTGATTACTTTCCAACTTTTATTTTCATGGAATTGATTAACGTTTCAATAAATGAAATTTTTTATTTGTAAGCTTCAATAATACTAGCTAAAACTAAAAGTGACTCACTATGTCTGATACTGACTGGCCAAAATATCGAGAACTGATTTTTGAATAATTCATAGTTTGTGATATATATATTATAGTTTGTGATTTGTGATCAGGGTGAGCTTTATTTTCGAGATAATTAATTATAATCTTAAAGGTTTTTGATAAATTAGTTTTTCATATTCTCTATTTCGATATTTCCATTATTTCCTTTTTTTCGTTCATTTTTCTTTTGTCTTTTTCTTTCACTCTTTTTGGTGTTTAAATTCTTCAGGTAGGGGAGCTCATTATGATAGAATAATTTTTATTCACAGTTTTTATTAATTTGTGTTGTCTCTCAGGAGGGTTCAAAATTGAGCCGAAACATGTAAGCGCGTTTTAGTGAGTAAAGAAGTTTCACACTTCATAGATATATTATTTGCGCGACGTCTTCTGCGCTTGACTCCTACTGCCCGTATCCTTTCCAGTTTTTTGATTTATAAGGAATTTTGGTTAGTTTGATTTGTAATACGGATTTATTAAAATTTGTGTTATCCCATCTATATTGTTTAGATGTAAAACAAAGATAGAATGACACAAAAAATGCTATTAACATCTCCTCAAATGCACTCTTGGAATGATTCACTGGAAATTGAATTCAACGTAATACATATTTTAGATCAGTATCAATCATATAACATTCATTAAATTGCTGAAAGATTACAGTTGTGATCTTTTATATTTTATATTATGCATATCAGTTGTGATGATTTATATTATGTATTTATATTATGTATATTTTGAGGTATGTACGAGTATGTGTTAGATTGCATTTTTAAATAATTATACAATGTGATGAAAAAATATATCTTTCTTCTAAAGTATAATATCCTCAAAATTATACGATATTTAAACATATCGTCTCCATAATCATGAAATATATAATTGTTTTTTCTGTGTGTTCTCTAAGTTATGTTACAGTTACATTTTGGTTTGCTAGGATATTGTTCTTCCATTTAATCTGTAATGCGAGCGAAACTTGTTTCATACGTACAAAGTATAAAGCTTTTATATAAAGCAAATATTGTTACGAGTCGCCAGAGAAGCCGATAACAAAACTGTAATTTTCTAATTTCTTTCTCTCTCTCTTTTTGGTAATATGAAAAGATATCTTTTAATTGACTTTTCGTTTTGCCGAAAAGACAACTGTAGAAAGATGATGAAAAGATGTTTTTAAATTGTCTTTTCAATAAAAGTGAAATTTCCATTAGAAACGTACGTTTTATCCATTTTTATGTATTTTGTCCTTTTTCTTTTTATGTTCTCAATTTATAATAAATTTTTCAAAATTTTTTAAAGACTTTTTTTAAACTTAACCTTGCATAAGATGCAAAAAAATTATGAGTATTCCTGAACTTATAAATAGTAATGTACTGCAAAATCCTTTTTTTTTTTTTACGTAATTATATCTAAAATAATTTGTAAATTCATAGAATAAATAAATTTTGTCTGGATGTCGAATTAGCATTTGTTAAATGTTTTTGATCAATGTCTTCTTCTCGTTGTATTTGTTTTAGAATTTGAAGAATGCCATAATAATTTCAGACAGTACTTTGTTATGGAAAGCTACAAAAGCGGACAGGATACAATAAAAAACGAGAATAAATTGCATCAATGGATTAATTCTTTTTATTGCATTCATAATCGCATATACATGTTTATTCAAAGTAATCCGACGACGTTATTAGTAGAAAAGAACATAAATATCTCGATACAGTGAAAATCTTTTCACAGTAATCGATTTACAAAATTTATATTCTAAAAAATTCATGCATAATCGTTCCCATATCTAATAAATAAATAAATAAATAAATAAATAGGTAAATAAATAAATAAATAAATACACAATAAAAATAAGTATACAAGTAAAATAGTAAACATTATAAATGACAATAAATAGTAAATAGTAAGGAACGTAGATTCGCGAAGCACAGCGCGAATCAATTCATATTAATAATACCTAAAATAATCTCCAAAAATCAAACTTACAAAATAAATAAAATTCGTCTAGAGCTCGGATTAACAATATACTAAGATAATTCGCATTAAACTTTACTCTCTTTCGATACGTCATTGCGATTAATTCCATAAATTAATATGTTTCTTTAATCTAACGTAAATTATAATCATTAACATTGTACAAAGAGAAAAAATTAAATAAGAATTATATACGTACACATGGCCGAGCCCGGAATGCAATACGTGCCGCTCGTATTACGACGTAAGAGCTTTAAGATCTGCGATTAAACGTTAACCTTGATCCTTCGTATGCAGAAGAAGACGCAAAGCAGACATTAATTTCGATGAATTGTCTGCATAATCGCCTTAATTCAAAGGAAACTCGCTAAAATAAATTCGCAAGATTCTTTAGATGTTTCTCGTCACTCTTGATAGTTTCATCATAAACGCGCTCACAATTATAAATTAATTTGTAAGTTGATTAGCGCAATTATCTTCAATTTATTCTTCAGAAAAAGAATCTACAAAATACAGCTCGATCGATCATTACATTGCAAAAATTCCACGTTGGATTTAGTCGATTACAGTAGCAAAAAAAAATTATATGATACACTTCTCTGTTAAAAATTTATCTTAGAATTTTTCATAAAATTTTTATATTAGCATTTTTTTACAATTCCTATATAACTTTATAAATCTTTAGAAAATTTCTTAGATTTTTTTTATACATTAAAATTTTTCAGAAGTAGAGGAAATGTTTATATCTTTTCTAATATTCTTATATAAATTCTGAAATATTCTAAGATTAAGATTTCTCATTTCTATAATTCTGAAGAAAACTTTAAAAAATTTGAAATAGTTTAAGGCATTTTTCTCAGAAATTTTCATAAATTTAAAATATAACAAATTTTTTAAAATATTATGAGATATTCTGAGAATTTTTTAAAATTGAGATTTATGTGGTGAAGACTTAACTTTTTCATATATATAAAAGTGAACCTATAGACGTTCCTCCTTGTTTCTCGACTTCCGTTTCGTGCGTTAATGTGATTGCGCATTTCACGCGAAAAAGAAAATCGACGCGATAAAAAAAAATTAGAATAATTTTGTACTTTCTTACGAAATTATCATTTAAACATTTCACATAACTTACAGCAGCCAACTAAATCCGACGTGATCAAGAAAAGCCACATTCAGAAAAAAACATATAATGATGATGACTATAAAGATGCAGATAACTATAAGTTTTAATATAGAATCAATTATGTACATATATATTGTAGTTGAATAAACTATTTTATAGTTGCAACAACTATAAAATAGTTTATTCAATTATATATATTGTGTTAATTCTCTATACATACATAAAACTTGTATGATTGTCTTATACGTGTAATTGCTATCACTATGTCCTTTTTTTCTGAGTGCGATAGGAATAATTATTTGTCTTTTTATGAGAAGATCTAAGTGTTTCATACAATGAAAGTGATAACCGACTAAATACAAATGAAAACTCAGTATGATCTAAATATGATCTTGAATTCGCTGGCAAAAAACATCCAAGTGTTGAGAATGAATCTTGCGAATTACACATTATACGCGAATACTACAACGGCGTTCACATGTAAAATACTGTTTTCTCGTTAAGCCTCGAATACTTAAATAAAGAACGCAGTCTGGATACGATCGTGCCGTTTTTCCCCCCAAGGACATCGGCACTTTGCACAGTAATTTGCTGTACGCTTTCGTTATCTCCCGCTGTTGCCGTTTAAATCTTAAGCACGCATGTAACGTACATTTCCTATGCTTGTCAATAGATTACTTATTTCTTAAATAAGGCGTAAATTAATAAGAAAATTGGAAGCTCTCGGACGGAGGCTATCCGTAATAGTACGCTGTCGACGGATCACGGCTGAGAGATCAAATTAAATGTGCGTGTACGCATGTATGTGTGTGTATGTATGTGTGTGTTCGTGTATATGTATGTATCTTTTTAATTATACTCTACTTCCTCCTTCTCTCTTATTTCACTATCTCTTTCTCTTTTGTCTCTAGCACGCTCTTTCTCCCCCAGTTGTCTGTCCTCCGCTTCTCTTTCCTGACTTTCGCCTCATTCTCGAGCTACACCAAGTATATGAATTAAATCAATTGGTAGTCCCTTTGCTCCTCCCGCGAATCCTCCTTCTGCAATTAGAATAGAGGAAATAAAATTAGTTCCGATATTGAGATGACAGATTTGGATAATTACGAACTACATAGGCGACACTGGCGATTCTCGCAAATGTATTACCGCGATAGCGTCATCGAGTCCCTCTACTTGTAGATTTACATACACTGCTAGCCAAATATTTGAGGCCATATGTAAGAGTGTGTGTGTGTGTGTGTGTATACACACACACACACACACACTCTTACATATGGCCTCAAATATTTGGCTAGCAGTGTATGTAAATCTA